GTACTTCTAATGCCAACTTTTAAGAAATCACTATATTGCTTTCCACAGTGGTTGTATCATTTTACAGTCCCACCAACAGTGTATGAGAGTCCCAATCTCTCCACATCCTCACCAGCATTTGTTATTTACTGTCTTGTTGAACTTTGCTGCTAGTGCGGGGGCAAGATGGTATCTCATTGTTGTTTTGAATCGCATCTCTGTAATGAGGAGGGAGCTCTGGTAGCATAGTGCCTAAGACACTTGACTGCCACCCAGAAGGCTGGCGGTTCAAACCCACCAGACACTCCTTGGAAGGAAGAAGGTTGGACAATCTACTTCTGAAGTGGTACTGCCTTGGAAACCCAAGGAGGGGTCACTATGAGTTGGGTCTGATTCAAAGGCACATAACAACAACAACAACAATGGCTAATGATTGTGAGCATTTCTTCATGTGTTTATTTGCCACCTGAATATCCTCTTTGGTGAAATGTTTATTCATGTCTTCTGTCCATTTTTAATTGGATTATTTGTCTTTTTTTTGTTGAGATGTTGGAGTTTTCTATAAATTTTAGAGATAAGTTCACTGTTACATATGTCGTTGTTGAATATTTTTTCCCAATCTGTAGGATTTCTTTTTATTCTTTTGCAGAAGTCTTTGGAAGCACATAAAAATTAAATTTTTAGAAGGTCCCATTAATCTAGTTTATCTTCTGCTGTTTGTGCATTTTGGATTATGCTTGATAGTCTATTTATGCTGTATTTTACCAAAAAACCAAACTCACTGCCTAAATTTGCCCCTAGTTTTTCCTTAGAAATACTTTATTGTTTTAGGTTTCACATTTAAATCTTTGATACATCTAGAGTTAGTTTTTGTGTATGGTGTGAGGTATAGATCTTGTTTCATTTTTCTGCAAATGGATATCTGGCTTTACCAGCATGATTTGTTAAACAGATCATCTCTTCCCCATTTAATGGATTTCAGCCCTTTGTCAAAGATCAGCTGACCATAGGTCAATGGATCTATTTCTGGGTTCTCAATTCTATTCCATTGGCCTATGTGTCTGTGGTTGTACCAATACCAGGCAGTTTTGACTATTGTGGCTGTATAGTAGGTTTTGAGATCTGGAAGTGTGAGACTGCCTACTTCATTCCTCTTCTTCAATAGTGCTTTGCTTATCTGAGGTATCTTTCTTTTCCATATAAAGTTAGTGATTGGCTTTTCCATATCCTTAAAAAATGTTGATGGAATCTGGATTGGAATTGCATTGAATGTATAGTTTGCTTTGG